ATCTTCAGTAATTGCCTAAACAAAGTTCATGGTGAAAACTAAAAATCGTAAAAGGAATTTCTTGAAAGGGTAAACTATCAAAGTGTCAAACGTTTTACTGAATAGTGTTTAAATAATAACACTAGTTATAATTATAGCTGTAAATCTGAAACAAAAACTTGACTCAATTAAACAATGAATGTGTTATTGTGATTAGATGTAAGTAGGTATGAAAGATGAGGAGTATTTCTAAAGTTATAGTATGTTAGGTTCGGTGTGGCTAGCAACTGAAGTAGGTGATCCTTTAGCCTAGAAATACATAGTGAACTGTGTAGAAAAAAGTCAGCATGAATCAAAGTCCACTAAGATCACATTCAAGATTTAAACTGACCCTCACCTAGTTAAACAAGTGCTACACTAGGTATACTTCAAACAACATAAACAAAGCTATTTAAAATTGAAGAACTTTGGCTAGCACTAAATCCATAGACATGGATTTTGTCCTACTTGAGGCTAGTCATTTAGTTGTACATACATTTGAGTGTTGAATTTCAAATCTGTATATAATGGCTACTAACACAACAACTTACACGGAATGCATATATATTAACAATGACTGATAAATTTCCGATTTTGAACATAAACAACGAAATAACTCAAACCCAATCAAGATTTAAAACCATATCAATTTTATGCATTAATGCATATGGGGAAAGATTTAAAATACACAACATAAAATGAATTTACTTCATCTGTTACTATAGTTATTATTCATACTTTGTAATCATTCAGTAATGAATCACTCTCCCCATCTCTCTTTTGTTTGTTTTATCAGTTAATTCAAGGTGAAAGCTCGGGATGTTTTCCATGGGGTGGAGATGAGCATAAATGTGAATATTATGAAGTACTTGTTTTGAAATATTGAAAACTAAACATCACATTTGTTTTTAATAAAAAACTATTTTAACAAAGAAATGTATTTAATTCAAAAAAAAGATCCTTATGAATTTGGCAATAATAATTGTTTGTAATCATGATAACAATACTCAATAAATCAATAAATATTGAAAGTTTATTTTATGTTTCGATAGTGTATGTGATCTGTCGCTTTGATATATCTGACTATTTTGATAGTGTAATAAGAAGACGAAGATTATCAGAAGTGTGCGATATGTTAGCGAAATATATTTCGAACAATCTGACCACATATACTACACTTCTTAAGAACATTTATATTCAGAAATAGAAGGTGAGCTAAACAAACTTAGATGTAAGAGGAGACAATGATAATAAAGGAAATAATGTGAGAATTCGTCATGTTGGATAATGTACTAATTTTACTAGGGTAGGTTTAAGGAGAGAAAAATTGTTTTTGAATATATGTAGTGGGTTTGAATTTTCGTATGATTACGGTTTCAATTAACTTCAGTATTCTCCCTGGGTTTGAATCCCACGAGCGTAATCGTGGATGCTCACTGCTGAGGAGTCCCACAATAGGACGAAACGGCCGTCCGGTGCCTCCAGGTTTTCAATGGTGGTCTAACATCAATCAGTCCATGATCTCAATCGAAAACCTAATAATCTCCACAACCCTATACGGGCAATTATTTTTGACTGAAACTATTTGTAGTCTTATACCATTGAATTTGATTTCGTTCACTAATCAATACTAATCATTGTGAATATAAATCCATAAATAAATCCATATAGAAATATAGAGTTCAGTTAATTCTTAGTGTATATTCAACTTAATTCTTCTCACTTCTGCAAGGTTATATAGACCATTATATGATTTCTAAATAAAATCTTTGTGTTATAGGTAGTTAAAGTAAATTTCGTTGGGTCTAAACCATTTCAAAGAACTCGATTTTCTGTTTTTTTTTCTAAAATCCTTTATTAATTATTAACTAGCCACCTACAGTAGAGAAATTCCCATTTTTTTATCGGACATTAGACGGTTATTATTTTTGTAACAATGTCAACGGAACTTTTATATTTTTAACATTAACTATCGGTGTCGAGGTTACTTATCTTTAAAACCTCAGCTATATTGCTACTTCTATTATTACAAAGTACTTTTTGAATCGAACTGTTAAATATTTGGTTTACTAAAAAGATGTTAAATTAATTCAACATGTATCTAAACTGCTAAGCTGTTCGAGTTTGATAATGATATATACGCTACTTATATGCGTTCCCAAATGGACTAATTATGTTAGAAAACTAAGAATAAATGAGAGGCTTTGATTGGCTAAACGAATGTCAAGTCACACTTTTAGCCAGTAGCGTTCACTCATCAACATACCGCACTAATCATTTGGCTTATGTTTGATTGGTCCAATGTATTACTTTTCTCTCTTCTTTTTTTTAATGAATTAGGTTGGGTGTACATTAAAACACAACAAAAGAAAAACAAATTTATGCTTAAGATGGTAGGAATCCCTTTACGATAGCTATTATAGATAACGGAATGACAAAAAGAGTCATTGCCATAAATAGTTAACTATTTGACAAACTCTTCTTCTTTCGGAAATCCAATACTCCCTGACGTCTCTACAAAAGGATTCTTGGTTTAGGTGTTTAAAAACAGACATATGCGACTAAATGACTGTCAAAATAACAATTCTTAGTTTGATAAACAGAGAAAGATGGCGACTAGCAGTAGAATCCAGGAGGCACATTTTGTCCTACTTAGGACTCATCATAGTCGACGTTCACTCTGGAACCACTTGCTTCAAACGCCATCACGTTATTCACTTAGCTACTGAATTCAGATAGCCACTGGCTTGTGAAATGGGGAGGGATGTTTAGTTCATTTGTATTGGTTGTTTGAGTTTTCCTACTGATGTTGAGGACTGCGAGTGATGAGTCACTTTTTGATATATATGCATCCTATGTACATTACCATGATATTCCAAAAAAAAGAAACTGATCAATTACAGACCTTGACATTAATGGGAAGATTCAAGAACCCAATACAAATGAATTATGAGTTTTGACTACAATTGAATAATTACAACCTTTATTGATCAGTAGGTAGTGTCTTTAATTAATATTTGAAACTACGTTTTTGATTGGTTGGAGAAAGTAAATCAAACAAGCTTAACCCAGAACTTCATATAATGCATTTTAAAAATATATTTACTAGTAATTGCTTTCTACCGTCACTATCTTATCACAGTAGCACAACAATATCAATGAAGATATTTCTTACAAATAGATTTTTTTTCCTTAAAGCTTTCTATCACTATTTTCACGGTTAATTAATATCGTTTTAAACATGTGTAGTCAGATTAGAGCACTTTTCGGTAATATATTAGTTGGGAATCTATAAAGAATAAAACTGTTTCCTAGCATCACAGTAGGACTAAGCGAACGGTACTGGGTTAGAGTCCCAGAGTGAACATTAACTATGGGATGCTGGCAAATCCAGCTGATGAGTCCCAAATGAGACGAAACGCGCGTCCTGGATTCCACTGTTAGCCACTATCCATCTTTGCTTAAAAAAGCCTGGGACTTAAGGCTACGTCGAGGCAATCCGCACAGTATGCACATTAGTCAACATGAGACTGATCAATTGCAGTCCTAAATAACAATGGGAAGATGCAAGTAAAACAAGACCAAGTGAATTTATAATAAAGATATTTTTCATTTCTCATTATGAAATAAATCATACAAATCCAAATTGTCATCAAAGCTTACCTTAAATGTTAAACTAGCAATAGCACTCAAAAAATAGTTTTATTTCATTTCCTGAACCTTGAGTATCTTACAAAATCACCTATCATAATTATATCAACAAAAAATTCAACTATATATTGTCTTTGGTCTGTGAATGAAATCTTTCACATCACTTACGTATACACATAATCTGTTATCTTAACACTTCGTTTCACACCACATTTCTCTTACACACTTATGTAAATACCTAATTCAAACAGTGTTCACGTTGATTGGATGACTTATTCAGTATACAGTAAACCAGAAAACCATGTACCAATTTATATTCGATAATTTTGTTGTTTCATTATGTTTTCCTTGAAAAAGCTTGGACCAGATTGCCAGGCGAAACGTTGGATTTACTTCAAATTCTTTTGCTGAGATTTTATAAATACATTCTTCCTCTTTAATGTCTCACATTAACTGGGCGCCCAAATATTGTGAAACTATTCGTTCAAATTTAGACGAAAGTTCTTGTTTAAAATACATTGGTTATCCCCGCCTGCTCTCTCGTTCACAATGGATTATGTCGAATTATGTAATGTTGATTATTTCAATATAATAACACTTATCTTGAATATCTAAGGATTAAAGGTTACCATTATGAAGTAATTAGTTTTAAATCCTTCTTGTGTTAGTTTAGTTTTGATGACCAATTTCTTTCTAAACTAATGTAAAACACTATGCAATACTTTATGGCTTTTAAAAATTTCATACACTTGACATTGTTTATTAAAGAAATATCAATAGTTGAGGTCATGAGCCGATTTCAGCTAGACCACCATAGAAAATCTGGAAGCACTGGGTCAGTTGTGAGATAGTAACTGGCTGATGACAATGGTGGATGTGTCGCTTAATTTTGTGGATTAGTTGAAGTTAGACATTAACACCGTTGGATGTCGGCTCAGTGGTCGAGTGGTTAAGTGTTCGTGCGCGAGGTTGATAGGTCCTGGTTACTACAATCTCCACAAAATCCCCTCTGATACTATTAAAGAAATAAACAAGAATGATATAACAGATCAGACTGTTCTTATGTATGAATTCAATAAGAAAAATAATTTTGATAAATAAATTTTGTTTGGAGAACATGATTATCATTTGGGTTTTAAAAAAAAAATTGTAGATATTTTTCAATAGTCAATAATTGGTTGGTAACAAAAATCCTGAATAAGGATTGGTGAAATAATAAATGAAACTAATTAAGATTGATTTTTTCTTTCTAAAAGGAAGAAAATTTCATTTACGATAATTATGGTTTGGGAATTGTCTGTATTTATTTTCTTTCCTCTTCTTTTTTGTAATCATTTAATTAATACAAGAACTTCATATTGATGCATTTTTCTTTCTTGACCACCATAAGGGAAATACGCGCATTCATGACTTTCATGAACCTTTTCAATAAAATTAATTAATATAAGAACATATGAGTTTATTATGTTTGTGTTTTATAGTTTACATCATAAATTGACGTTAATAAGCTAATGATGACTTAAAATCACTGAACAATTATTTCTTCTCTAGTATGGGACTCTTTAGGTATATGTACAACTGTAAATTAAACTGTATGATTCAACAGTTTATATAATTTGTCCTTACTCATAAATGTTTCCGTTCGATATGTGATTAACTGATGTGAGTATATTATATAATGGAATATCTGTTTGATATTAATAAATGTGATTTTTTTGTATTTGTAAAATAGAAGATCACAATTACTGGGTTACTTGTCATATATAAGTACCACACGAATTTGCTGGAGCCAATCTTAAAGTCGAATAGTCATAACAAAAACAAGAACTGTATATTATTTGAAGAAGCTTTACGGTTATTGAAATCGAATGTCAGTGATGATGCGTCTAACTAGAGTACTGACTTAGAATCAATAAGAATGTATTAGAGTTGCTAAGACTACATGTAAACCACTCAGACGTGTATCAACATATATGAAACTAAGATTCAATATTTTGTCAATCCAACGCCATACAAATTTCACTAGTGATTACATTACAGAGTCGATCAATAAAATTTGACAAAAATCAATAATTAAACCTCATGGTATTATGTATTCTACTGTAATGAATGTGTTTTTTTTCCACTCAGCTCTTATGTGTTTATCGTTCGGAAAAAAAATTTGTAGTTTGATAACTTCTGAGAATTGAAGAGAAAAAAATGGTTCAAATAATTTGTTTATGATATCAATTTATTGATTATTTCACAATATAATAATAAATAAACTAAGATAATGTACGTGCTACTCATGTAAATTGCTATTAATCAATTAATTAATTTTTTTTGAAGAGAACACGTTTGTTTTTGTGATCCTTTTAGTATAAACTCATAAGAGTAGCTGATCAAATCACGAACTATGGATTTATTCAATATACCAGATTAGTCATTCGTTCTTTTCTGTTTTATAAACTATGTATATTTATAAATTCACTTGGTGTTGTTTTTATTTGTATCTTCCCAGAGTGAACATCAACTCTGGGATGCAGGTATATATAGCTGACAAGTCCCAAATAGGATGAAACGCGAGTTCTGGATTCCACTGTTAGCGATTATCCATCTTTGCTATGTATATTTATTCTTATATTAAAAAATAATAACAAAAAAACCACAATGTCGATTTATATTGGAAAATAGATGGATTGTGGTTGACAATGAAAACCAGTGTGAGAGTTTCATTCTATCTGAGACTAGTCAACTCGATATACTTGAATCTTGCTGTAAATGTTTACATTAGGACTTATATCTATTACCTTGTTCTACAAACCGTTAACTTTTCATTCACTGAGCTATTCAATTCAGCTAGTTATTAACTTGTTTAAAAGGTATTACACTTAGATCATTATTGGTATGAATTTGATTAGAATTTAGTTCTAAATATTAACAACTAGATAACGTAAATCTCAAATAATGATGATTTATTATTTTACATTTATAACAGAATAACATATTTATTGCATTATTTTAGAATCATATATATTATCTCTAGAATAAAGTACTTACTTTCCCAACTACACGTTCACCATTTATATATTCTCGAGCTATATACAGTGGTTCATTTGAAGAAGTTATACCTCCAACAACGGCATATTTAGGAACATATCCATTACTATGTCGTTCCCATTTGTAACTAGGATATTATTATTTTTGTTAAAAATGATAACAAACATTTAAAAAAATTTAATTTTTATCTAGAACACTAATGTTTGAAAATGACTACATAATAATTTGATTTGTGTTTTTGGAAAGGAATATTTTCAATTTTGAATTATTATTAACGATTTAATTTTGTTACAGTTTATATTGTTTTATTCTTAAAAAATTGGCTGTTTATAGGGTAACCTAAGAGTTAGGAAGTATGTTTAAAGTGATTAGTTCTATTGAGATATTATTCTGAGAAAGTAGAATCTTTATATGTATATAGTTAATGTTAGGATGTTGAAAGCTGTTGGCAAGAAGTTCTATAAATATGTTTCATGTTAGTTAGAAATCAATAATAAGGTTGATCTACAACCTTGAGAAACTTGGTACTCTTCGTAGGATTAGAGAACATATTACTTAGTATTAAAATTAATAAAGCTACCATATAGTTATTTGGGTAGAGACTAAACTTCTGAAGGGTTGAGATGTGTATAGTGAGTATTGACTGACATATAATCCTTGTTTAGTCATTAGTGCTAAACAAATACCTCCAATTAATTTATAATACAGCCATTAGTCCTATGTTATTAGAAATAAAGTGTATTGCTTCTAAATATTTGATTGTCGTGGAGGGAGATTTTCAATCAACAACATTTCAATTCAAAATCAAATATATTCTTTCTTATGATACACATACCACTGTTGGGGACCATGTGGTAATTTTGTATCACATAATACCTCATATGAATCGAATTCATATTCTGTTCCATCATAACTAACATAAGCTTTTCCCAAATGTGGTACAACTTTACCAGGAATTAGATCTCCAGAATGATATATACGAGCAATGTAAACAGCATGACCTGCATCAATTGCATTTGATGGCACCCTACCATCTCTTTGATGAATCCAGGATAGACATGATTGAATTCCTTTGCCAATTCTCGCCATCGTTGAAATTTAACTAAAATCAACAAAATATTCACAAATAATTCATTTGTAGAAGATATTTCATTTATTACTTAGTAAAATATGTTGACTTAAAACCTTTGATAAATACTAATGATTGTTTAATTAAATGTTATGGTACCATTGAATTCAGATATAGTTTAGTAAACTACTATTAGTATGTATTCTAAGTGCTTTAAAACAATACTCGTTATTTCGGTGGCATGTGTTTATCCAATGACACAGCTGTTATGATTCGATTGATACAAACTGTTGATCGATTAGGTTGTATCTATTTAGAATAATATTTCAATTTATTTTATATTTAGTATGTTTTGCACATAAGAGACAGAGATTTTTCAAAAGATATCTTTTCTCACAATGGAAATTTGTGGAGATTGTAGTAATTTAAGTGGTTGAGTTCATGAGTCGATCTGAGCTAGACCACCATTAAAAACATGAAAGCACTGGACGATCGATACATCCTAACATGGGATTCCTCAGTAGTACGTATCCAATATTCCTCACGTAAGAGGCAAACCCATGATATTCGGTCTCACACACGAATACTTAATCTCTAGACAATTGAGCTGGCATTCAACGATGTTAATGTCTAACTTCAGTTGAATCATGATCATGCTCAACAGTCCATCTTTTATATAAAATTCATACATTTTAAGTTACTTTTTTTAAAAAAAATAATGGATCACCAGTCAGCTTTATTAAAGGTCCAAGAAAATAAATCCACCTTCTAAGTTTAAACTACTTCATCAATTACGACCTATCTTAAATATATTTTTTTAAAAGAAGTTATTTTTGATGAATATAATTACATATTAACATTTACTTCAAGAGTTAATGAAAATATTTACAATCTTGATGGTTACTTTTTTATTATGTGTGTTTGTTGAATCCTCTGAGCTGAATGTCTTAGTGGTTAAGTGTAAATCATTGTGTGAGAAAACATTGTTCAAAATTTCAATTATACGCGAAATATTTTCTAGCTATTCTACAAGTCTCTTACAACTAAACCATCCAGATTGAACAACATATCACCATCAGAAATATTCATCTCAATCATAAATCTTTCTTGTAGTTTCATGAGATGTTATCCCATTAAGTGACGTTTGCCAGAAATAATTTAATGACTGTTAAATAACTACGCTATTGGTACGAAGATCTATATTCTTAGATCACTTTAGTTATCAACTTCATACTTTTGACAAAGAAAACTATTAAAATGAAAGAATTTTGACTGAAGGCTTTAAACTGATATATCAATATTTTTTTATATGAGTTAACGAATTAAATTATGATGTAGAAGAATATAATCAAATAATTAAGATAATTTTCAACTAGATAGATTTGTTAAGAAAACACTATGAATTTTATCCGAGTATTTTGTATCATGCAGTGAATTAGACAAAATATACTGACGTGTTTTCCATATATGTGGATAAAAACACTGGGTTGAAGGTTTTTTTGAGCTGACGAGTTTCAAAATAGAACGAAATCCACGTCCTGGATTCCACTACTATCCATAATCCATCTATGTAAAATAACTTGTGATATAATGGTTATGCCGAGGCAGTTCTCACAAGATACGTATATGCTACGTAAGACTGATCAAGATTCTGTTGTGAATCAACAACGGGATAATTCAAACTCATACTACTACTAATACATATATACCAAACAAGTTTATTCAATAAACAGATTACATTAGATATTTAAAACCAATACCAATATTATCGTTAATATTTTATAAACTCAAAGTGATCGTCGTTTTGAATGTAAAATGATGTTATTTTTCTGGTAAAATACAACGAAATAAACATAAACTGAACCACGACACAAAATGCATTAACTTACTCTTGTTATCTTAACTAGAATGAAGAACAATGTAAGTTATGAACTATCTACAAGTTATATATATATATACACAATCAACTGTGTATCTATTCAAATAGGTCACATTTTAAATCTACAATGTATAGGCATGAGATTTTGTGTAAAATAACCTATGAGCTTAATTGTTTCTTTTCTTAATTACCGAACTGTACACAAGTATGAACACACGTAAGCGAATAGACAAATAGACATGCATAATTGATTACAAAAAAGTCAACTCTATCTGAGATGTGAATAAAAATAAGTACAAAGGTTACAAACAGTAATATTTAAATGTACTACTACTATTAATAGTATTGAAAAATCAAAACGTTTACACTTCCTTATCGAAATACACACATTATCATTAGTATTAAGTAAATATATGATAAACAGTTTCATCTGTAATAAAATCACTGAAAATAGGTCAACTTTCTACTAATTAGTCAAATAACAACACGTTAGCATAACTTCCCTGTCTTTTTTAATTGATGTAGATTTTGAGAATAACAAGAAAATCAATGCTAATACAAAGAACATAGAATAAACAGGTTCATTGAAGTTATAAGAGATTTGAAGAGAATGAAACATGTTACTTGAAGGTTTCTTGAAAATCATAGTGTCATAATCCAACTATTGTCATCTTTTAGACAATTTATCACGAATTATTGATGGTTACATCTAACTTGGATGACATAAGATGATATAACCTCTTTTCAAGATTCCACACAAGGCATTTAAGTGAACTGAAGTAAATAATTTACTGTTTTTAGTGTACCTGAGGACTTTCTTACTTACTTAAGCCTGTTACTCCCAATGGAGCATAGGCCGCCGACCAGCATTCTCCAACCCACTCTGTCCTGGGCCTTCTTTTCTAGTTCCATCCAATTATTGTTCATTTTTCTCATATCTATCTCCATTTCTCGGCGTAATGTATTCTTTGGTCTTCCTCTCCTCCTTCGACCCTGAGGATTCCATATGAGGGCTTGTCTTGTGACGCAGTTGGGTGTTTTCCTCAATGTGTGTCCTATCCACTTCCAGCGCTTCTTCCTGATTTCTTCCTCCACTGGGATCTGATTTGTTCTCTCCCACAGTAGGTTGTTGCTTATAGTGTCCGGCCAGCGGATCTGAAGTATTTTGCGTAGACAACTGTTAATAAACACCTGTATCTTTTGGACGATGGATTTCGTAGTTTTCCAGGTTTCCGCCCCATACAGTAGAACTGTCTTGACATTTGTATTGAAAATTCTGACTTTGGTGTTGGTTGCCAATTGTTTTGAGTTCCAGATATTCTTCAGTTGTAAATATGCTGATCTTGCTTTGCCAATCCGTGCCTTCACATCTGCATCAGATCCACCGTGTTCATCGATGATACTGCCCAAATATGTAAAGGTTTTTACATCTTCCAAAGCTTCTCCGTCAATTGTGATTGGATTGGTACATGCTGTGTTATATCGAAGAATCTTGCTTTTCCCTTTGTGTATATTGAGACCTATTGCTGCTGAGGCTGCAGCTACACTGGTTGTCTTCTCCTGCATTTGTTGTTGCGTATGCGATAGAAGAGCCAGATCATCTGCAAAGTCTAGATCATCCAATTGCATCCTAGCTATCCACTGTATCCCAGTGTACCTGAGGAATATTCGACATATTGATAATTAAAATGTCTAGTGGATGATTCAAGTAACAACACAAAGACGTTTAGTGAGGAATTATTTGACACCAAAAATAAATCAAAACATAATCTGAACACACTAATTGTGATATAATTCACGCTGATTGTCAGATTTGTACACCGTAAATTGAGTATTATTCATCATAAATAATTCACTAATTTAATAAATGAACACACCATAAAGTTAAATGTCTATAAGCAACAGATATGATTAGTTTACCAAGATAAACAGTTACCCCCCCCCTTAAAGTACGATTACATGCCAAAAATGCTTGGAAAAAAAAATAAATTTCACATGTCATTCACATTCCGATCAACTAAGGTCTTGGTCACTTTATTAACTATAACAATAATAGACCTTTTATTCAATATCATATGTTTGATTGCAGTCAAGGATTCACTGTGCAAAAATATGCAGTACTGTTACAAAATTCCCGATTTTTAAGTAATAAACTTGTGAATATTCTAAAAATATGAACGAAACGTTTTTAAACAGTGGTAAGCTATCATTTTTTACATTTATTCGTATATGCACACAATCACTCATACTCATATGATAATTCTTTTCATAGCCTGATAAATCGAACGCGCGAATCCTACAATAATCCCCTCTTGTTTCTGACATGGTAAAATAAGGAAATGAGAGAAATAATCGAATCATAGCTACAGTACTGCCTGGATTTCTCAATACTTAGATTCGCGATAACTTGTAAAGATTATCTGCAAATAAGTAGACCGGTAAAAATTCAGTTCAAGTGGTCATTTACCACAACATTAAAGATACCATACTGTTGAGTTATTTAGGCCACTGGACATGTTGGGATTTGACAAAAGGGAGTTGATCAGTACTAAATGAAAGGATAAACACAATACTTGTCGCGTTGTTAACAAATGTTCCCACTCACAAATTTGTGGGTGTGTCACATGATAAGTAAGAATGAAAATATACTTCACTGAAAAGTAAATACACCTAGTGAAATAATTCATGTTATTTTGAACAGTGAAACAAAATATCAAACAAAAATTCGATATTATCACTTGTTCGACTAGAAATCATTAAGAATGACAAACAAATTCTTGAAATTGGTTGTCTTACATTATTCAGGTTTTTGACACTGTACTAATCAGATATCGGCTAAATGATATGCTCTCACTATTGTCCAAGATCCGGTTTCCTTTCTAAGAAATGAGACATATACAGTTAGTTGAAAATGTGGCTTTACTTTCAAATATATATATATATATATATATATATATATATATATATATATATATATATATATATATATATATATATGAGTGCACGCATATTTTGCCACTTGGATCTTTACCTTAAGGCTTTCTATTCACTGTCGGTTTTCTCATTCAAATAGCTGGTTGAGCTTGGATATAGGAAGCTTGTGTATTGGGTGCAGATTTGAATGAACGTAAAGCCAAAGTGTGGTCCTTATAAG